CAGCAAGGCGGCGCAGCTGCGAGACTGCAACGAGAGCTTGTGGCGCGAGACGGAGCTGCTCCGCTCGCTGCCGACCGAGGAGCGAGATCAGCCGAGATCAGCCGAGATCATCGGAGATCACGCGAGGTTATCTCTGCTCGCCGCCAGAAGAGGAGCCGGCCGAGTGCCCCTCCCCCCTCTTGCTCCACTTGAGCTTGCTCCTCTTGAGCCCTTCTCGGAGCGTCGCTAGGAGCTGGCTGCGTACCTCTCCCGCTGCTGGGCCTCGGGCGGCGCGCTAAACTACCCGCACACGTCGCTGTACGGTGTGTGCGTGCTGCACGCTCTGCGCCACTTCGAGCGGCGCCAGTTCCTCTTCCTCCGGTACGAGGACTTGATGCAGATGGACGCGGCCGCCCTCCTCAGGCTGATCGGCCGTTTCACCGGCTTGCCCGTGCGCGGCGACTTGTTCACAGCCGTGCCAAAGAAAGCTGAAGAAGAGAAAGCTGTGAGCAGGCTTGTACGCGGGCGACGACCTCGTCCTCGCCGCGAGCCAGAGCGGACGCTGTTCGGCGAGCGCCGCAAAGGCAGGCCGCCGCCGCGCGCCGAGCACGTACAGCATCATCAGCGACGAGGAGCGGGCCCTGTACAACCGCTCGCGCGACGCAATGAAGGCCGACGCCGCTGCATACGACGACCTCTTCGCGCCGTACAACGCGCTGCTGGCCAGTCTCGTGGGCTTCTCGTGGGGATGATCGCCCGGGTCTCTCCCGATATTTCTCCCCAGAGTTCGATCTTCGTACTTCGATCTCGGACCTGCTCGTAGCAGTGTGGGCACTCCATTATCTGCACAAGGGTGGGCACGTGCGCAGCGGGACCCGCCTTTTTCTCCTGGCACACAGGTTTTAGGTTTGTTGTTGGCAAATCACTCACAGGTACTCACTTATCCTCATTCGTGTGAGTGTGTGACACATTCACGCGGAACGCACATCTCTCCACAGACTCCGGTTCTCGCCCCCCCCTCGGAGGATCCGTTGCGTCGCCGTCTTCTTTGCTGTGGTGGCGGCGTGCCGTCCTCCCATCCCTCCCTTGGGTTGTCTGTTTTCTTCCTCGCGGGAGTCGCTTAGGCGGCTCCCGTGGTGTACCTGTGTTAGTGCCAGTGCGCGCCAGTCCTGTGCCTAGTGTCGTGCGAGGGAGTTTGTTTGTGAAATTCTTTAAATTCTTTCTTTCTTTCTTTGTCGTGCAAAACAAAAGAACTTTCAAGCGCTGGCCAGGATGGTGTTTCTCTCACGAGTGGAGCGTTTTATCCTAATAAGTCAAGTCGAGTCAAGTCACTGCCTTACCGACATTTGACACGTCGGCTGCTCGGCTGTGCGCCGAGAGAGCAAACGGAGCGCCACCACACTCACTACGACTAGTCTGCAGCGAAGATGTTTGCGCATACAGCCTCTGACGCGTCACGGGCCCAATGTGTTGCACTCACTACCACCCGCGCTCGCGACCAAGAGGCGGCGCGCAGCTGCGCGCAGCTGATCGTCGCACGCTGCGGCGTGCTCCAGCGCCGGAAGGGTATAATCGGCTGCAGTCAAGAGATGGGAGTGCCGCTCTGAAATGTGAGGCACGTTTTTCTTGAGCTGCAAGCCACTGCAAGCCGCCACCCGCCTTGCGAGGTCGTCCATGTGGCCAAGGTCGCCGATCATATCGAAGCTGCGCAGCACCTTCATTGCGCGCTCCGTGGCGTTTGGGTAGGGGTCCGAGACCGGTTCGCACTCGAAAGGTTTGTGCGCGCGGCTGTGGTTTCTCCACTGGCCACCGAGGGGCAGCCACTTGTTGTCGTGATAGCCGCCGAGGATGCGTGTCTGCAGCCCGTTCGCGTCGCGCAGGAAGCTCGAAAAAGGCCGCAGCCCGCATGAACGATCGCCGGACGAGTTGGTTGCGCACATGTACTGAGGCCACATCTCGTAAAAGGAGGTGATGTGCGTGCGGGGCTCCCGAAGAACAGTGAACGCGACCAGCCGCCCGCCTGCCGCCCGATAGGCTGCTCGTAGTGCCTGCAGCTGTGGCAGCACGTCGTGGACGTAGAAGCCCAGCGACCACGAATGGAACTCAACAAAGATGGACTCGTTTTGCCAGTCGGGCAAGTCCCATTTCTCCCTCAGTTTGCGGAAGCGGGGAAAATGTTGATGGTGGATGCCCAAAAAGATCTCCGACAGCCTGTAGTCGAGCTTAATTGTGAACGCTGGGTTGTGCCGAGACAGCCAGTGTACCACGCTCGCGCCGCCGCATTTGTGTATGTGGAAGAAGAGGACCGCGCGCGGTGCGACGCCAGGCCGCGGACCGCTGTAGCGCCACGGCTCGGCGTGGAATACACTCCGATTTAGCGGTGCAGCAAGCGCCGGCGTGGCTGCATGTTTGCTTCTCAGGCCCATGCCAACGAGCGGCGGTCCGCGCAATACGAGCGAGCAATGCGATTGCTGGCCTCCTAGTTGTTTGCTCTCAGTATTCCGTTCTGGTTTTCTGGCTTTCTGCCCCCCCCCCCCCCCTCCTGAGGCCAACTCCCTTACCTCGGCGTCTCGAAGAATCCCCCTTGCGAACGGAGGAATCACAAATGTCTCTCCTCTTGCGCGGCCCGAGGCTCGCACCTCGGGCGCTGGCGACGCTGCGCCGCAAGACTACCACGGGCATATGCGGGCTCAACCCGATGCCCAGAATAGAGGGGCTCTATTCGAATACACTGACCTCAAGGGCTTCCCAGAGGGGAGCGAGAACCACAATGTTAGTTAGCGCTGATTGATTGATTGATTGATTGATTGCGCAGGAGTATTTTTGCTTGGGGCGGCACTCATGGACGGGGTAGGTAGGGTAGGTCTGGGCCCTCCCGTCGGGTTTTCCCCTCTCTTCACGCTGGAAATTTCACAGCAGAAAAAGAATTTTTCCGCGGAAATCACGATGTCAACCCTCCCCAAGAGCCAAGTGAGGTGATCTGGTGCTTGTAGGTAGGCGTAGGGCTTGAGAGTGGCCTGCCATGTCACAGGAAGGACTATGGTTGCAGCTGCATCTCTTTTTGTGATGCTCTAAGGTTCGCTTAAAGAATTCTTAAGATAAGAATTTTACAACTAAAGTGTCTCGCACACGCACGATTCACACAACAGGCAAAGCGCGGACGACGGCTTCTAATAGAAGCCGTCGTCCTCACAGAAGCCGTCGTCGGATTCGCAGTTAGAAGGCGGATGGTCGAATCCGCGAGCACCGTGGTGCTCGCCGAGAGGACCATCCCCATCATCTTCCGACTCCATCCCCTCCCCCCCCCGTCGCTCCCGCCGCGCCCCCCGCCGGCGTTCGTGGCGGGACTTCCCGCCCCCTCCCCCGCCAGCACCGCTCCGCAACTCCTCCAGGTCCTCCTCCCCCAGAGGAGCAGCCGCCCCTCCCTCACCCAGTCCTCCCACCCCCGCTTAAAGAAAGAAAACAGACAACCCAAGGGAGGGATGGGAGGAGCGGAGGACGGACGGCACGCCGCCACCACACAGGGATTTTAAGGAGAGGAGTGTGGTGCTAGCCGTCGCCCACCCTAACCCTTGTACATACTTGGTCGTCTGCCTCTTTCTATCTCCCTTTTCGCAGTCCCTCGCCGATTCTCGCTGCACCCTTCATGCCACCTCGCGGTCCTCCCCCTCTCGTCGTTCTCCCTCCTGTCGCTTCCTCCTCTGTCGCGTCGCTCTCGTCTGCCTCGTCCTGCGACGGCGCCGCCGCCTGCCGATCCCTTGCTCTCGCTTCTTCTCTCGCCTTTCGGCGCAACTCTGCCCTCCGCGCGGCATATTTTCTAAGGTTCGCTGTAGCCGCCGAATCGAGCATGGAGAGCCGGCAGCACGGAATCTGGGAGGACGGCACCGCCACCACACAGGGAGGTAGGTAGGTAGAAAGGTGAAGAACAGCCAGGCTCGGACTGGACACCAACGCGGTATGGGTACAGGGATTCGAACCGTCAGCGCGCCTTTTCTTTTGGCCGAGCTCGCCTCGCTCTCGGTCGGGGCTCAATGCTGGCTCGAGCGCTCCGCGCCTCGCGCGGCGCCACCACGGGCCGCCGCTTCCTCTCCATGCGGCCGCGCACCATGTACGACAAGATCTGGGACGAGCACGTCGTGGAGGCGGGCAGCGACGGCAACGCTCTGCTCTACTCAAAGGCGCTGTGGCGGTTGGTGCTAGTAAGCCGGTAGACATCTACGGGCCTCGCCGTAGCCGGCCGGCCCGTGCGGCGGCCCGACTGCACGCTCGTGACTGTCGGTGAGCGGCCGGCGTCGATTTGCCGCTCCCGCACTCTCTCGCGCCTCACCCCTGGGTTGCGTTCTCGGCGCAGACCACAACATCCCCACCTCGTCGCGCTCAAAGTTCAAGGACGTGGCGTCCTTCATCGAGGAGGAGCAGTCGCGGACGCAGGTGCATCGGGCGCGACGAGGCGGCGGCCGCGGAGAGACCGCGCTCGTCACGCTCCGCCGCCCTGGGTGGCTTGCGCTAGGTGCTCGCGCTCGAGGCGAACGTTGAGGCGTTCAACCTGGCCTACTTTGGCATGGGCGACAAGCGGCAGGGCGTGGTGCACATCATCGGGCCCGAGCAGGGCTTCACCGTCCCGGGCGCGACCACCGTCTGCGGAGACAGCCACACCGCCACGCACGGCGCGTTTGGAGCGCTCGCGTTTGGGATCGGGACGTCAGAGGTGGAGGGGCGTAGAAGATCTCCCCCGTATCTCCCCGTATCTCGCCTTTGGGGTCGGGACATCAGAGGTGGAGGAGCCTCGAGGCTGAAGAATGCGCATCATGCCACGACGGCGCGATGCTGTATTCCCGCCCTGCGGCTGGTGTCATCACCATGTCCATGTCCATGTCCATGTCCATGTCCATGTCCATGTCCATGTCCATGTCCATGTCCATGTCCATGTCCATGTCCATGTCCATGTCCATGTCCATGTCCATGTCCATGTAGGTGGAGCACGTGCTCGCGACGTCGACGCTGCAGCAGCAAAAGATGAAGAACTTCCTGATCCGCGTCGACGGCGCCCTCCCCGTCGGCGTCACCGCAAAGGACGTCATCCTGCACGTCTGCGGCCTGATCGGCAAGGCCGGCGGCAGGGGGGCGGCACCTCCTAGACACTCCCCGGACACGTCCCGGACACTTCCTAGGCACGGCCGGCGGCACGGGCTACACGATCGAGTTTGCGGGCGAGGCGATCCGATCGCTGTCGATGGAGGGGCGCATGTCGATCTGCAACATGGCCATCGAGGCGGGCGCGCGCGCCGGCCTCATCGCGCCCGACGACGTCACGTTCGACTACTTGCGCGGCCGCCCGATGGTGCCTGCTCCCGAGTCCGACGAGTGGGGGGCGGCGGTGGCGCACTGGCGCTCGCTCGCCTCGGACGCGGACGCGGCCTACGACCGCCCTCGGATTTCTTCTGTTGGAAGACCGGCGGTGGAGGTCCGACGCGCGTTCTTTTTTGGGAGCAGGCGTACGACCGGACTGTCGTCATCGACGCCGCCTCCATCGCACCCACCGTCACCTGGGGCACTTCTCCCGAGGACACGGCGCCCATCAGCGGCAGGGTGCGCCCCCGCCCCTCTCGCAGCCCTCGAGGGCCTGCGAGGCTGGAGAAGCGGGAGGCGAGTGGCGGAGTGGTGCTGCGGGCCGCCCATAGGAGATTGCCCGCCCTCGACCAGATCTCCCCAGATCTCCCCATCTCTCCCCATCTCTCCCCATCTCTCCCCAGATCTCCCCAGATCTCCCCAGATCTCCCCCCCCCCCGGCCCAGGTGCCCACCCTCGACCAGATCGACGACCCGACGCTCCGCTCAAAGGCGGAGCGCGCGCTCTCGTA